TCAAGCAATCAAAATAAAAGTTAATTTAAGAGCTGTTGATTCTATAATTCATTTTGGCCCCAATTCACCTGCATCTTTCATTATTAACACTACCTCAGAAAGGAGGAGGGCTGTGAAGCATGACTAGAACATAAGTCTTAGTAGAATCCATAAGCCTAAGCAATCTCAATTTAGCCCTTGCAGTCAATAACTTTACCTTTCTGAGCCTCTGGTTTCTATCTGTAATTGAGGACAATAATTGTCTCAAACTCAAGAGACTGCGCATGTGAAAGTATGATGAAAACAATATTCTGTATCATGCTTCCATGCCAACTGTTTGTTCTCAATATTCAAATTGCTTTTATGGAAATGAACCAAACATTTTAATTTAAACACACACAGACACGCAAAAATATATCACCCACTTCATAAAGGAATTTATCCTTGTTCAAATATTTTGCAGCTCATTCGATTAGAAGGGGGGATTTGCTTTTTTCATACCCATGTAATAAATGTTAAAACTAACTGAAGACTTAATGACTGACTGCATTTTATTTATAGTGCTTGTAGAGCAATGGAAAATAGCATACCTAGTTAAAGAACTCCTTTGGAGGAAAAAAAAAACAAAAACAAAACAAAAAAAAACCTGGCTATCAAACAACATTCTCCACAAGTTTGGTAAGACCTGAAAGCACAAAGCCAAAAATCATATCTAAATTAAACCACTGCTAAAGTCACATAATAAAAGACTGTTTACTCTAGTTAACTGGAAGGCAAGTTGACACTAATATTTTTTTCCAGTCTGGAGATGGAAACAACTTGTCCAGTCATACAGCTGTAGTAATGTTACTGACTACAGAACTGTACCTTAGACAAAACTGCATTCGCTTGCCACTAATTTTTAAACAATCAACAAATTATGATCCCCAAATTGACAAGGTACACTAGACACACTCAACAACCTTGGCTTTGATATAAACCTTAATCACATCTTGGGGGGGGGGGAGGATTGACTAGTTAACAACAAAAACACATTCACTCTTGTCTATAAATACACATTTGGGTTCTCTGCATTTTGAACATCTACCACTATTAATTGCTGATGGGATACCATACTAATGGCCTCTGCCATTTTTAATCATATTAACCTCTTACAGTATACTTCCATCTTTACAACTTTAAATATTTCATTCAGATCAGGCATTTTCAGGTGTATAGAAGCATTAAAATTATCATTCCTTCTCCTAATCAAAATTATCAGCTATTACCAAATAGCTATTTCCAATGTCTTTTCCTTAAAAAAAAAAAAAAAAAAAACTATTGTACTAATGAAAAAAATTCCCTCAAGAGTTTCAAAATATGTGGCTTTCATCAAATGTGTTATTGGCCATACAAATATTAATACAGTAAAAAGAGAACTTTTGTTTTATTAGAAAGACCTGTACAAAATAATTTCAAGTCATGTATCATAACTCATCCCATATACCTAAAAAACTGTCTTCAAATTAATTTAGTTTGGAAGGTTAATAATATAATACCAAAAATTGAAATAAAAAAAGTTAAGACAATATGAGAGCTGTGTGTTACTCCCCAAAAGGATCCATTTCTTGGACACCTAACTTCAAATATTATTTCCATCATTTTGGCTCTAAGAACTAAAATCTGGACATGCTGGGTTAGCAATGGAGATCTAAGCGTAACCTGATTAATCTCACTATGTCTTAGTTTTATAAAGACGTGGAAAACAACAAACATTTACCACCCCATCTTAGCATCCAGTATTATCTTCTAAAGTCTCCAACATAAACCCTCTACTTTCTTGGTCCAGCTACTACTGATTTCCAAATAGATACAGGCTTCCTGGAAATAAACACGATTATTCTGCATTGCTTTCTGTCCTTCTCATAAGAATAAGCAATCTTGCATATGCAATAGGAATTCGGTATTTAAACACAAAGTACTAATTAAAAATGGAATTGTATAATCTCAGATTAGAATAGACCCTGGAACATGTTTTATCTCTAGATTATAGACAAAAAATGTCGACCAAATGAAGTGGTTGCCTCAAGATCAATCACGATTACTCTGTGGCACAAAGAGAACTAGTGTCCAGGTCTAACTCCAAGTCCAGTGGTCTTCTAATTACATCGTTACCTTTCTTCCAATATTTTCTATACAAATGACGAGTTGTCTACCCAACTACTGGCTCATAGTCTTTATGTAAAGTACTAAATTCTAAAAGGTTTTAAAATCATCACTTACAGTACTTAGAAATTAAGACTTGATGATATACATTAAACAATTGTTAAAAAGCATATTTCTAAACCTTTAAAACAAATACCATCCTCATTTGATGCAAAAGAATTGAGGGTCAAGAAGCAACAAAAGACTCAATACATTGCTACCATTAAAATGCAGTTCCAACAGATGATGTACCACCTCATCAACTAGGAGAGATGAGCTTTGTTCAGGTTCCAGATAAATAAATCTGAATTTGATTCACTTAAACTGCAATTTACAGCATAGTTTCTGAGAAAGCCTGTTTTAGGAGCATATACACCAAACTCATGAATCTAATTATCACATCAAACCACAAACCAGTCAGCATACTTGCTCTCTAATAACTTCACTAATACAAAATGCTAATGACATTCCATGATTCCGTAATAAATGAAATGCTGCAAAGTTAATTTTGAAAAGGAAGTTAATATAGGCTACAAGATTCCACTCTCAACAAGTTGAAATAAAATATTTAAACACTAAGCACAATGTCTGGAATACAATAAAGGCTCAATCAACAACTATTATCAGTACTACTACTACTACTTAAAGCCACAAAAATACAAGCAAGTAACTTTCCAAAAAAAGAGTCAGGATACAAAATTTGCTCCTCTTGCTGTTGTTCATTTTAAAAATAAATGGCAAAATGCCAAATACATTAAGCTTAGAGAAGGGTTTTACACCACCCAACTTGTCAGCATATAAATCACAGATTCAACTGACACTTGATTTTGAATCTCAAAACTCCTTATGTAGTATGACTCACCAAATTCTCCATTTCTCCCAACTATGAAAAATAAGTCATACTCCTCCCTATAACTACCACCGTGACCTTCATAGAAATTAGATTAATGATTTTTAAATCCTTAAAAAATACGCTTTAAAAAAAAAGTCTCTGAAAAAAATTGCTCGGTTTTAGCACAAACCACCCACGATAGAACTAACTAAAGCTGTGTGACCTTTGAATAGGTCCTGGGATCTGGCCTATAAGCTTGCCTTTTGGGGGATCCTCTGGACACCTTTGGAGCAAAGAATTAGTCCTGAGTACAAGTAAAAAGCCTCTTGGCCACCTCACAGTAGAGTTCTAGGCCGTATTCTCAGGCCTTAGAACCTAAGTCCTCTTATCTTACCAGGATCTCAAAACCGTCGCCAACACTGACACACAGGGTCTCGGCTCCCACACCACCCCTCCCGATGCCACGGCCGGGAGGCTCGGAAGCCCCTGAGTTGGATGAACGGCGCCATTTTAGACGGCGGTGGCAGCAGCAACCAATCCCTGCTCGAGAGGCAGGGGGCGCCGGGTCGCCGGGGAAGCGCCGCCGGGCCGCACCGTGCCGGACGCCAGTCTGAGAGGTTCGGGGGGTCCGGGCCGGCGGCCTCCGCCATGTTGCACCCTCCCCACGGCCGCCTCCTTCTCGGCGGGATCAGCCCGTGGCGGCTTCCGCAACCGAAGTGCAGCTCACCTTCTCGCAGAGGCTCTTGACCTGGGACTCGGAGAGCTGCTTGCACTCGTTCAGCTGCTCGATCCACTGGTCTAGCTCCTTGGTGAACACCTTCTCGTCCATGATGCCACCCGCCCGAACCGGCTGCCGCTCCGCGCTACTCCCGCGCCGCCGCCCGCACACGGGCCACACGCACACGCCGCCGTCGGCTGCCGGGGTACTTGTGTGGCTACTGGCGGTTGCTCGGCGCTAGTGCTGGCCCGCTCGCTCTCCCCACAGTGCTCGGCCACCGGCCGCTGCCCTCCTCCGCTCGCCCTAGCCCCGGAGCTCGGTTCTCTGTAATGGCGGCCGCTGGCGTGCTGACGTCACGCCCGGCGTCAGGAGGCGGCGGGGTGCGGAGGGGTAGAAGGGCCACGGAACCAGCTGCGCAACTGCAGGGCCAACCTTGGTCCGCCGCCAGACCGGAGTGGGGGCGGTACCAGGGGCTAAGGCGCAGGCGCTACGTAGCCGGCTGGTAACTGTGGCACCTTCGGTTTTAGGGCGTGGTCCTCCAGAAGGGTGGGGTCCAGAGGAAAAGGAAGACCGAGCCCCAGAACGCGCGGCGCTCGCAACTGGGAACTGAGCTAATCGCGGAGCACTATCCTACGCAGGGCGGGAGCGGATCTGGCGCAGGCGCAGATCTGGCGCAGGCGCAGTCTTGACGGGAGGGGGCTTCCCAGCTGCCTGAGACCTTTTCCCAAAGGTGTTACGCGCCTCGTCTCTTTACCCGGCTACTGCAGCCAGATCACGGAAACGGGAGTCGAGACCCCCCACGGCTCTTCCATGGTGCAGCAGCACTGGAATTGCATAGGATTCCCACATCTTGGGGGCAGGAACGGGCGCCGAGTGGTAGCCTGGTTGGAGGCCACCTCCGCCTCTGAGTGGCACCTTGTAATTAGGTTAGTCGTAGGCGGAAGAGGGTGTACCTGACCGGGGAGTGCTGCGCAGTGCATCTGACTCCCCCGGCACACACTTGTCCTCGGACCTAGGTATCTCGTCGGGCGCGATGGCTGGGCCGCGACTTCGGCTTCTCTCTGGGCCTTGGACTTTGCCTAGCTTCCGCAGGCCCCTCGCAGCCTCGCCCGTTGTCGCTTTCCGCCTCAGGTGTGCACCCTGCTTCGACTCCGGTTCATCCCTGGGGGTGTGAGACACCCAGCCACGCCC